ATATATATATATATATAAGTACAAGTAATACATTACCTAGCATGCAACTCCGCTTAGATTGTCTGTTCTAATCAATGGACTATAAAATTACTGAGTAAATATTTTTAGCTAAAATTCAATTCATGGCCCCTCATGTAGGCCATGTTCCCTGTACATAGATTCAACACAGAACATAAATAAAGCTGAAGGACTCGTCATTAGCCAGTATGAGTGCCATGTTCCTCAGTTTCACAGTTACATCCACCCCACACTCACAGCTGCAATACTCTCTAAAGGTAAAGGCTTGAAGTTTTACAGTGGGACTTCGCTAACCAGTGGGTAAAGTCATGGTGACTGCGTCTAGCATTCCTGTACGGTCTGTCACTAGAAACTACTACTGCAGAGGCTGATGTGTCAGTATTTTTTTTTATCTGTCACCCCAACTTTACAGAAGTCTTTCACTAAATTGCTGCAGTTTCCCTTTAAATGTCCCCACATTATGGACAATACATTTACATCACTTAAAATTAAGGTCAGCAGTGGTGGATGAAAATGATATGCAAAATGGGCTCAACATCCAGCAGCAGCAGCCATGTTAGCCCTTCACTCTTCAATGATAGTGGCTTTACAGCCCATTAACTCTTTGAGGCATCATGCGCGCAGAGTGGATGATAAGGTGTGTGTGGGGGTGTTTGAGCCTCCATGGATAAACTTAATGACTAATAATTGGTAGTTAAGTGCAGATTGAAAGAGCCCGCTAACGAGTGTCTGCTCAGAATTCAACTGTGTGTGTGTGTGTGTGTGTGTGTGTGTGTGTGTGTGTGTGTGTGTGTGCGTGTGTCTAAAGCTATAGATGTGTGTGAGTGCCCTTCACTGGATGCTATCATGATGATAGCACACACACAGCAGATGTTCACTGAAATGAATGATGGTGCTGATTTCCATTTGAATGCTGAGTGGAAGTTATCAGGTGCAGCTATGGAGGGACAGCATCGCTGATGCTGTGTATGAGGCAGATGATAAAAAGATCACAACAGCACATAACAGTCGTATTGTTTCAGATTCTCTTTGTTTTGTGGCTTTGCATTAACTTTTCTCTATGATATGATGGGAAATGATAATCCATGTTTACCCAGACGAGGTGGAGTCAGACTTGTTGTGTCTGGCTGGGGTGGGAGAGGGTCAGCTAGTTGTTGATGCATTCCATTACCATATGAATGACCGCTCCTCCAGCAGGAAATCACATTAATACACCGCCCTGCCTGCTGTTGTTCGCATTATTAAAAGAATGAAAAAAAAGGAAAAATAGGTGCCAGGAAGCGCACACACACTTTTGTATAAACCTCTCCTTAGATGACCAGGTAATCAGTGCTAAACTTGCAGCATCCAAACAATCAATGGACGCTCAGGGACTTCCCCAAACAGAACAAAGGCTGCTGGGTAATCAGCCAGTGAGCTTCGACTGTAACGAGGGAGATTGCTGAAGAGGAAGAAACGGACAACATTTATTCTTTAGTCGATTCTTTTTTTTCTTCGTTTGTTTAA